TGTTTAGCACCTAATAGGAGACAGTCCCGGCACTGAAGAGCTCATACTCTAGTCTAAACAGAAGAGACAAAGGATAGGAGGGGAAACGGAGGTGCAAAGTAACTTGCCTACTAGTCATGACCTGTATGACAGAACCCAGGTCTCCTGACTCCCTGTCCAGTACCCTCAGCCACTAGACAGTGCTGCCTCTAGTAATTAGAATGACAAGTTATTAGTCTTAGGGTATGTCTACACTACGAAATCAGGTCGAATTTATAGAAGTCGGTTTTTTAGAAATCTGTTCTATATATTCAAGTGTGTGTGTCCCCACAGAAAATGCTCTAAGTGCATTAACTCGGCGGAGTGCTTCCACAGTACCGAAGCTAGCGTCGACTTCCACAGTGTTGCACTGTAGGTGGCTATCCCACAGTTCCTGCAGTCTCTGCTGCCCATTGGAATTCTGGGTTGAGATCCCAATGCCTGATGGGGCTAAAACATTGTCGCGGGTGGTTCTGGGGACATATCATCAGGCCCCCGTTCCCTCCCTCCGTGAAAGCAAGGGCAGACAATCGTTTCGTGCTTTTTTTCCTGAGTTACCTGTGCAGACGCCATACCACGGCAAGCATGGAGCCCGCTCAGGTAACCGTCACAGTATGTCTCCTGGGTGCTGGCAGACATGGTACTGCATTGCTACACAGTAGCAGCAACCCATTGCCTTCTGGCAGCAGACGGTGCATTATGACTGGTAGCTGTCATCGTCATGTCTGAGGTGCTCCTGGCCATGTCAGCCGGGCTAAGTGTGGAGTGACTTGACCAGGTCATTCTCTTTAGTCCTGCAGTCAGTCCTATTGAACCGTCTTAGGGTGAGCAGGCAGGCAATATGGATTGCTAGCAGTCATACTGTACCATCTTCTGCCGGGCAGGCAAGAGATGGGGATGGCTAGCAGTCGTATTGCACCGTCTTCTGCCGAGCAGCCATGAGATGTGGATGGCATGCAGTCCTTCTGCACCGTCTGCTGCCAGCCAAAGATGTAAAAGATAGATGGAGTGGATCAAAACAAGAAATAGACCAGATTTGTTTTGTACTCATTTGCTTCCCCCCCCCTCCCCTGTCTAGGGGACTCATTCCTCTAGGTCACACTGCAGTCACTCACAGAGAAGGTGCAGCAAGGTAAATCTAGCCATGTATCAATCAGAGGCCAGACTAACCTCCTTGTTCCAATAAGAACAATAACTTAGGTGCACCATTTCTTATTGGAACCCTCCGTGAAGTCCTGCCTGAAATACTCCTTGATGTAAAGCCATCCCCTTTGTTGATTTTAGCTCCCTGAAGCCAACCCTGTAAGCCGTGTCGTCAGTCGCCCCTCCCTCCGTCAGAGCAACGGCAGACAATCGTTCCGCGCCTTTTTTCTCTGCGGACGCCATACCAAGGCAAGCACGGAGGCCGCTCAGCTCACTTTGGCAATTAGGAGCACATTAAACACCACACGCATTATCCAGCAGTATATGCAGCATCAGAACCTGGCAAAGCGATACTGGGCGAGGAGGCGACGTCAGCGTGGTCACGTGAGTGATCAGGACATGGACACAGATTTCTCTGAAAGCATGGGCCCTGCCAATGCAGCATCATGGTGCTAATGGGGCAGGTTCATGCTGTGGAACGCCGATTCTGGGCTCGGGAAACAAGCACAGACTGGTGGGACCGCATAGTGTTGCGGGTCTGGGACGATTCCCAGTGGCTGTGAAACTTTCGCATGCGTAGGGGCACTTTCATGGAACTTTGTGACTTGCTTTCCCCTGCCCTGAAGCGCATGAATACCAAGATGAGAGCAGCACTCACAGTTGAGAAGCGAGTGGCGATAGCCCTGTGGAAGCTTGCAACGCCAGACAGCTACCGGGCAGTTGGGAATCAATTTGGAGTGGGCAAATCTACTGTTGGAGCTGCTGTGATGCAAGTAGCCCACGCAATCAAAGATCTGCTGATATCAAGGGTAGTGACCCTGGGAAATGTGCAGGTCATAGTGGATGGCTTTGCTGCAATGGGATTCCCTAACTGTGGTGGGGCCATAGACGGAACCCATATCCCTATCTTGGCACCGGAGCACCAAGCCGGCAAGTACATAAACCACAAGGGGTACTTTTCAATAGTGCTGCAAGCTCTGGTGGATCACAAGGGATGTTTCACCAACATCAACGTGGGATGGCCGGGAACGGTACATGACGCTCGCATCTTCAGGAACTCTGGTCTGTTTCAAAAGCTGCAGGAAGGGACTTTATTCCCAGACCAGAAAGTAACTGTTGGGGACATTGAAATGCCTATGTGTATCCTTGGGGACCCAGCCTACCCCTTAATGCCATGGCTCATGAAGCCGTACACAGGCAGCCTGGACAGTAGTCAGGAACTGTTCAACTACAGGCTGAGCAAGTGCAGAATGTGCATTTGGTTGTTTAAAGGCACACTGGCGCAGTTTACTGACTCACTTAAACCTCAGCGAAACCAATATTCCCACTGTTATTACTGCGTGCTGTGTGCTCCACAATATCTGTGAGAGTAAGGGGGAGATGTTTATGGCAGGGTGGGAGGTTGAGGCAAATCGCCTGGCTGCTGGTTACGCGCAGCCAGACACCAGGGCGGTTAGAAGAGCACAGAGAAGCTTTGAAAACCAGTTTCATGACTGGCCAGGCTACAGTGTGAAAGTTCTGTTTGTTTCTCCTTGATGAAACCCCACGCCCCTTGGTTCACTCTACTTCTCTGCAAGCTAACCACCCGCCCCTCCTCCCTTTAATCATTGCTTGCAGAGGCAATAAAGTCATTGTTGCTTCACATTCATGCATTCTTTCTTCATTCATCACACAAATAGGGGGATGACTACCAAGGTAGTCCAGGAGGGAAGGAAAATGCCACACAGCATTTTAAAAGTTTACAACTTTAAAATTTGTTGAATGCCAACTCTTTTTTTTGGGCAATCCTCTGTGGCGGAGTGGCTGGTTGGCCGGTGGCCCCCCCCACCATGTTCTTGGGCGTCTGGGTGAGGAGGCTATGGAACTTGGGGAGGAGGCCGGTTGGTTACACAGGGGCTGTAGTGGCAGTCTGTGCTCCAGCTGCCTTTGCTGCAGCTCAACCATACACTGGAGCATACTGGTTTGGTCCTGCAGCAGCCTCAGCATTGAATCCTGCCTCCTCTCATCACGCTGCCGCCAGATTTGAGCTTCAGCCCTGTCTTCAGCCCGCGACCTCTCCTCCTGGTCATTTTGTGCTTTCCTGCACTCTGACATTATTTGCCTCCACGCATTCGTCTGTGCTTTGTCAGTGTGGGAGGACAGCATGAGCTCAGAGAACATTTCATCACGAGTGCGTTTTTTTTTCCTTTCTAATCTTCACTAGCCTCGGGGAAGGAGAAGATCCTGTGATCATTGAAACACATGCAGCTGGTGGAGAAAAAGAAGGAACAGCGGTATTTAAAAAGACATTTTATAAAACAGCGGCTACACTCTTTCAGGGTAAACCTTGCTGTTAACATTACATACACAGCACGTCCTTTCGTTACAAGGTTGCATTTTGCCTCCCCCTACCGCATGGCTACCCCCTCAACCCTCCTCCCTCCCCGTGGCTAACAGCGGGGAACATTTCTGTTCAGCCACAGGTAAGCAGCCCAGCAGGAGCAGGCTCCTTTGAGTGTCCCCTGAAGAAAACCACCCTATTTCAACCAGGTGACCATGAATGATATCTCACTCTGAGGATAACACAGAGATAAAGAACGGATGTTGTTTGAACGCCAGCAAACATACACTGCAATGCTTTGTTGTACAATGATTCCCGAATACGTGTTACTGGCCTGGAGTGGTAAAGTGTCCTACCATGGAGGACGCAATAAGGCTGCCCTTCCCAGAAACCATTTGCAAAGGCTTTGGGAGTACATCCAGGAGAGCCGCGAATGCCAGGGCAAATTAATCATTAAACAAGCTTGCTTTTAAACCATGTATACTATTTTAAAAAGGTACACTCACTGGAGGTCCCTTCTCCGCCTGCCGGGTCCAGAAAGTAGCCTTGGGTGGGTTCGAGGGGTACTGGCTCCAGGTCCAGGGTGAGAAACCGTTCCTGGCTGTCAGGAAAACCGGTTTCTCCGCTTGCTTGCTGTGAGCTATCATCTTCTTCGTCCCCAAAACCTGCTTCCGTGTTGCCTCCATCTCCATTGAAGGAGTCAAACAACACGGCTGGGGTAGTGGTGGCTGAACCCCCTAAAATGGCATGCAGCTCATCATAGAAGCGGCATGTTTAGGGGTCTGACCCGGAGTGGCCGTTCGCCTCTCTGGTTTTCTGGTAGGCTTGCCTCAGCTCCTTCAGTTTCACGCGGCACTGCTTCGGGTCCCTGTTATGACCTCTGTCCTTCATGCCCTGGGAGATTTTGACAAAGGTTTTGGCATTTCGAAAACTGGAACAGAGTTCTGATAGCACAGATTCCTCTCCCCATACAGCGATCAGATCCCATACCTCCTGTTCAGTCCATGCTGGAGCTCTTTTGCGATTCTGGGACTCCATCATGGTCACCTGTGCTGATGAACTCTGCATGGTCACCTGCAGCTTGCCACGCTGGCCAAACAGGAAATGAGATTTAAAAGTTGGTGGTTCTTTTCCTGTCTACCTGGCCAGTGCATCTGAGTTGAGAGTGCTGTCCAGAGCGGTCACAATGGAGCACTCTGGGATAGCTCCCGGAGGCCAATACTGTCGCATTGTGTCCATAGTACCCCAAATTCGACCCGGCAAGGCCGATTTAAGCACTAATCCACTTGTCAGGGGTGGAGTAAGGAAACTGATCTTAAGAGCCCTTTAAGTCGAAATAAAGGGCTTCATCGTGTGGACAGGTGCAGGTTTACATCGATTTAAGGCTGCTAAATTCAACCTAAAGTCCTAGTGTAGACCAGGGCTTAGTGAAAAGTCATCAAGACGAAAACTGAAACTCACTTCCACATTTGACCAAAAGAAGCTAATTAAATTTATGCTTTTTCAGGTCAGGTCATACCTGTATGTAATGTACATGCCTCTCGCAGATTCTTTGATGCAGAAAGACAGAACACCCTCATCTTTTCCCTGGGTTCACAGGGCTTCCTCTCACAACATGCCTGAGAAGTAGATGTAGTGAAGGGAATCAGTTTCCAACTCAGAAGGAATGAGAATTGAATTGTATAGATATAATGAAAACAACAAAAAAAAATGCACTGGAAAAGAAGTGAAATGTAGGTATGAGGATATTGTGTGAAACCGACTTTTTGCAGAGATTGATGTTCACTGCTGAAGCCCAACTTGCCAGAAACATCGCAAGATTGAAGAAAATGATATAAAGATGGACACAATGTTGAGGAAACTGGAAACAGATGTAATGTTGAGAAACTGGCTCAGATTAGTAAGCTTTTCATTTGATGGAAAAAAGGTTATTCATATAGAAGTGTGGAGTTGTTGCCAGCATGTTAATGTAAATGCAAGGTTAGACTTTTTATTTAAACAAAAACAAATTGGGTCTTTTTAGAACTGCATAGCAGACTATTCTCACTATGAGGGGAGGTAGCTATAATTGAGTAAACACTGTGCCTTTGGAGAGAAAATGTCTTGTGATTGGAAGATTTTCTTGGTAATAGATTAGTAATAGTACCTTGAATTTGCTTTTGAATTTTCCCTTTGCCTTTATAAATGACTAAGTCGGCATCACACAATTTGGTAGTTTCAGGATTGTTTATTGCAGACAGGGGACTGCATTACAAAATCACCATCATATCTTATATGCTTGTTGTCAGGCAAAGCAAAGGACAAGATCTCAATGGGTGTGAACACAATTACCCTCTTCACCCCTAGTGGTGGTCCTGTCAACTCAGGCTGGGATTAGGAAAGCTCATATTGCTACTGCCCACATTATGTCTGGCCACTGGAAAAAACTTCCAGCACTAGAGCTGTCAATCTAGCATTTTTTATGAGCTAAACATTTACTTTTGAAAGACTGATTTAATATGCTTAGGACAGCAGATTAAATGTAATTGCTTTTAAATCAGAAATTGACAGGGTTACCATGTATTTTAGAGTTGAGATGAAAGCTGATACTAAGAATTCTCTCAAAGAAAAGTACTCAGCAATTTTGTTTAATTACAATAAAAAACCTGCCCTAGAGAAGGTTCTGATCAGTTTTCATTATATCAATTCAGACTGATATTTGCTTTAGGATACAGTTAAAATATCGAAACAAAGATGACAGAAAAATTAACTCCTTGAAACATTCAAAATACCGTGAAAACTGTAGGACTTCTTGGTAGCTGCAAGTTAAATATGTTGTCTAATGTGCAGTTAAGACCACAGCTGATTTAAATCCTTGTTCTGAAAAGAAAAGGCATAAGCAATAGACTTAGCTAGATTACATAAACCATGAATCCAGTTTAACTCAAAATTAAGATGGCACATCAGACTCAAATGTTCTCATCAAAAAGAATCAGATGGGTAAACGGCAAAAGATAATCATCATTAGGCCATCAAAGCAACAGTCTGCCACCCAAGACGAAACTAAAGTTTATTAGTTGTCTCATGGACAATTATGCATATGGGGAAGAGGCTATCATAATACAATTTAAGAGGTTCAGTTCCACAAAATTAGATCCTTTGTCCTTCTTATTTAAACCTTTCTTTTCTCAAAGAAATATTAACATGATCACATGTAACCCAAACATTTGGAACTCAAGGAGGTCTGGCTGACTTTGAAATCAACCACTATATTTTCCTTTTAGTCACATGAAAATTTCTGAAATTAGTTTTAAGTTGGGCTGAATCATCTGAAAGATTGTTAAGCTTTTCAAAATGTTGAGTCCCTACCCAGAATGGTCAGAGGGCTATTTCCTCACAACTTTTTAAAAGGACTGCTCTCCATGACTCATTTGTTGTGTTGGTTCACATATTTTAACCTAGACTTCTATCTATCTTAGCTGTGCTAGGTTTCATTCTTTTCAGTATAGCGATATATACACAACGGCATCACAAAAACAAGACATCCCCCCACCCCAAGTTACCTTGAGAATTCAAAACAACTCTTGCCGGCTTCAAAGAGCAGGACAAAGTCAGGAAAATGGCATTTCTGAATGTATCCAAGCTCAGTAAATCACATAACGAAGGTATTTCCTACTGAAAAAATTGCAGAAATAAAAATGTATAAAACTTATCATGCTGACAAACTAAGTTACCGAGTTTATCCAAATTTTTACTGGCATCTCAGATTTGAACATACACATCAACATACATTCAGATGGGTAAACGGCAAAAGGAAATCATCATTATGCCAGTAACATCATGTTGTCTGAGTGCTGATTTAATGAAATGTAGTTAATTTTTCAAGATGAGAATTTGTATTCCTGCAATACGTGTGGTATGATAATCTGGACAAAAACTATATTTCTGCAGTATGTCATTTTGCCCCTACGTGATGCATATGTATTTTAAATGACTTTAATTTCAATTATTTTCCTCAATATAAAAACAAAGCACAAAACTAGTGTAATTTTTTGCCTCCCATTCCAGTTTCCAATTTATCTTTTAGACTGCTGTAACAGAAAAAAAAAAAAAGATCACTACAATGACAGGGGCTGGATAAAAATAGGAACAGCTTCCCAGCTGCTGGCCGAATGAAGCCCTTGAGCACCAAGCCAGATCCTCAGCTGGTATAAGCCAGCATAGTTTCAGGGACATCATGGGAAAGCATCATGGACATATTCTGTAGAGATTTTCACCAGCTGAAGATTTCACTCTCTTATTGGATTCTGATTTCTACTATTGATAGAAAAGAAAAGCAACAGACTCATTTTTATTACTTTACCAGTTGATAGGACATTTTGCTGGCTGTACACAAAGTACATGGGACTTGTAAAAACATTCGAAATAAACATCACAACTGACTCAATTCTCACTATTTTAAAGAAAAATTTAATATCAGAAACATGATGATGATCCTGAATTTGATCCATAGGCACTTTTTAGCTTATTCATTTTTTGGCTGGCATTTGAGATACATCATCAAAACAATCAGTTGGGTAAATGGCAAAAAGAAATTATGCCAACAAAGCAACTTCCCATCTATGATGAGCATTTAATGCTATGAGACTAAAACTAAGTATTTGATCACAAAGAAAACATTAATATAGTGACATCTCTTTAGAAGTATAAAATAAGCATCCTAGAACTGCAAGTTAAACCCGGCCTTCAAGCTGGGGTTTAATTTTGCATCCACAAAATTAATCATGCTTTTTTCCAGCAATTCATTCTAAGTGCAAAAGCAAGCCACAGTCTGAAGATCAGGCCCCACGTTATTACACAAATCTCTTTACAAGAATTAAAGGTTCAGACTGCCTGTTAGCTTCAGAACCATTTAAGAAATTAGTTTCCTCCACATTTTTAGTCACAAGTGTGGTAATTATATTTGCCACTGTGTGACTCACCAGTGTAGAATGGGGATGAATGGCCAGGTGAAGTGTAGCTATCTTTGCTCTCTGGTTTCTAAAGAGAACAGCTTGTATCTGAGTATTCTGGGATTTATTCTGTTTGTTCAGGAGAACCAGAGTGAACTCTGCTATCTGATTAATTTATTACTTGTCTATGCAATAAGCTTCTCAACAAATCCTCTGGTGTCCTACAGCTGAAATACTGAAATGCAAAAGATAAGCATTTAAATTACCTCAGCAGTTCAGGTGAGAGCTGGCAGGCTTCAGGTAAGCAGCATTTGAAAGCCCATCTCACAATATAGGGTTTTCTGGACAGAGCAACACAATCTCCGAGGCCAATGCTCATCTGCGGTGTTTGGGGCAGGGGATGAAAAAAAAAAAAGTTATAAATTCACATGGACCACTGGATTCTACAAATTCCTCATTATTTGATTTACTTAACAGATGTACTGGCACCTCAGATTCAGAACTATACATCAGTGAAATGACATTCAGTTGGGTAAACGGCAAAAAGGAAATCATCATTATGCCAGTGAAGCAACTTCCCATCTTTGATACAGTTATTACTGCATGGGAAAAGGCCAACTTCAAGCTATGAAAACACATGCACCTCGGCACTTTGTCCTGAGTGGCTGAGATGCTGGACAGTTTGCCAACAAGTAGGTGCATATTTTGAAGTAATCTGCATTTGTTAATACAGAACACTCAGTCGCATGAAAAGCAAAAAACTGACAAGTAATGGTTTTCCTCACTGCCATCTTGCTTCTTTTGCCCCCTGCAAAATCAAAATTTGCAGAACCACAGTGACTTGGGTCTGGATTTAACAGAAAACAGCTTCCTGGTTGCTAGCTTGCAGAAGCTCTCCGAGCACTGTGTATTTCCAGTAAGAAAAAAATCCCAACAATATACTCACAGGCTTATTTCTTTAACAGTTCACGTGACACCTTGCTGGTTACAGAGGAGTAGCATGGCAGAGTCCACACAGTAAACTTGCAGTACCATCAGAGACAAATACTAACAGCTGATTCTATCCTCATTACCTAAAAGAAAAGAGTTCCAGACATTTTGAACAGTTGACAGGAAGTCAAATTATTTGGCTTATTTGGAGTTCTACTGCAACCTGAGTAGCAGGAAGTTTTATCATTCACTTGGAAAATGGGCCAAAAGGACCAAAATGGGCCAAATGGACCAATTATATCAGTGAAGCAACGCTGATCCCAGTGACAATTTGATATTAAACCATTTTTATTAAGAGAGTTCTGGGATAAGTTCAGTAAAATGTCACAATTTTTTAAGAGACAAAAAGGTTAAACAGAAGTCATTAATATTTTGCCCATTAAAAGAATGTGTTGTGGGTAAGTCTACGTGTTTAAGCATGTTCCACTATGCAGAGTTATTGATTTTACAAGAGTATGATGTTCCTAATGAGTAGCCATTGCTTTTTTCATCCAGTTGGGTTTGACAAGTATGAAAGATGAACTAAGGTTAAAGGTTATATTTACCTCACTTTGGGAGCACAGGTCTCCATGTAAGCACAATGGCACATTCCCTGAAGGTTCAATTCAAGGTCAGAACTCTTACCAAGATTATGTTGCCTCTGAGACTACCAAACCAAGATCCCACTACAATGGAGTCCCAAGACAACTACTGCTCTTAAGTATGTCACTATACTATGGAAAGGGCATGGTCAGGACCACTGGACAAGTCTCTAACCAAACTCCCCAGAGACAAAGGGGCAATTTATCATTAGAATTTGGACACCCAGCTGCTGATGAAAATGATTTATGAAGGCATATCAGCAGCAGTAAGGTTATTTAGCTGTTCAATTTATCATTATTTGGAAGACTTGAAAGACTGAAAATAACTCAAAATAATCAATAAAGACGATTTGCCAATAGTAAATGTCTCCTATTGCCTAATGAAATCCTGCTCAATTTCACAAAACATATGCAAGCTGTAGTAAAATAAACTAGGTCTAAAAGCAAGTCTCAAATAAGAAATTAGCTATTTAATTTGCAAACAGAGCAGTTTGTTCAAAATAATGTGTTAGTGCAACTATAATCACATTTGATTAGTCTCAGAAATGGTGGAGATGCCATTATGAGGAGGACGTAATAGGAAATTACCTCTATTCATTTCCACTAGAAACTCTATCCGTTCAAATCACAGTGTATATAAAACATGTTAGCAGGTCATCTGCCCCATTTTTTATTTTTAAAGTGCAAATTACATTCACTCCATTTTTAAAATTGTGTCAAGATTAAGATTATTAGAATTTAAATTCTACTTAAAATTATACACTTCCTGGTTTTTCTGCCAGAGACACTGTGCAAGGTACCAGAGGTCTGAAAGAACTAGCTGATTTCTAAACTCTCATTTTCATTGTAATTGTCAATACTTTGTGGAATCAGACATTCAAAGAGAAACCAGGAAACCTGCCGCTCATCTCTCAGGACTTCAACATTATATTTTTAAAAGTACTTTTCCAATTTATAAAAACAATCACATCAACTTTGTTCTCTTTTAGAACCCCACAAGTAGCAGAATTTCTGAAGTTATATTTGCATACCATAAAACGAAAACTTATGGCTATTTGTATAACATTTGTTAGACTTGAGGATTCCTTTCTCCCCCAACGCTACCAAGCTCCCCAGCAAACAAGGCAAACATGGCTATTTGAGATGTATGCCCCCATGTCCTATTCAGGATTGTACTGCTGTCAACTTTTTGTGCCTAGCACAAAGGGATCCAACCTCACTGTGGTCTTTAGATGCTACCGCAATTTAAATATTTATTAATAATAAACTTGTGATAAGGAAATTTTTTTTTAAATAAACCCATGTGATCTTTTATAATCCTTTTGTTTAAGGATTTGAAGATCTTCTCACTCAATATTTGTTTATCATTATAGGAAAGTATACTGGGTGCTTACGTGGAATATTGAGGGCAGTTTACTAGTTAGCTTCAAAGCCAATTTCCAACAAATTAGGTTGGGATTAATTCATTTTCCTCATGACTTGTAGATTTTTTTCCTATATAGTTTATCCTTAAAGCAATAGTACACTATTTATTCTCCTTTGTAGTCAGGGATTTAACAAGTTGGTTTTGATATTTTTGCCCAAATCAGATTTCTAATTCAAAGTAATATAACTTGTTCTTGAAATACTTACTCTAATTGCTTGGTACTCCTGAGCTGAGACAGATGTTTGCAAACATTTTAACTTTGTTTCTTATTCTACTTTTCCCTATTCATATTTTAAATACCACAAAGTGGTAGCATAAAAAAAATGATGTGGGTCACTGAAAAATATTGCACAGCTACACCAAGACTGGTTTGCTAAACAATAATCTATCCCACCCAAGTTCAGCTTGCTTAGCTGATACTATAACCACCAGGGCTTGGAGTTTGTGATTTTTTCTTTTTAACTTAAAAATAAAATGAGGTTCCTCCCCCCCGCCCCCGGGGTTAAGTGATCAAAAGATTGTTTGGCATACAACACACACACAGTCGTAAGACAACCATCCAAATTAATACACTGAGATACAGCCCTCATCTGCATACAACTTCCACCAGTTAACTAAGGTATGTCTACAGTAGAAATGCTGCAGCAGCATTGCTGTAGTGTAGATATGTACTACAGTTTCAGAAGGGGTTCGTCTGACTCTGTAGTAAATCCACCTCTCAAGGGATGGTGGCTAGCTTAATGGAAGAATTCATCTATCAACCTAGTGGTTTTTACAACGGGATTTAGGTCAGCTTAATTACATTGCACAGGACGTGAAATTTTTCACAGCCCCCTGAGCAATGTAGTTAAACCAGCCCAACTTTGTAGTGTACACCAGCTCTGAATCAATTAAAAAAAAACACATGTTCAGTTTAAGCTAGTGAAAGTCTGTGTGTAGACAAAGCTGCAATGACACTAGACAAACAGTGGGTAAATATTTCCGGTGTGAACAGCTCTAAACAGCTGCATATTAACACTTGCAACCACAAAGTTAAAAGCACATCAAGGTGAACTACAGGAGAGAGGTGTACAGAGAGGTGTTTTTTCTGTGGGTATGTCTACACTACAGAGACTATGCCAGCATAGCCCCATAGTGTAGATGCAGTCTACAGTGACAAACTTTTTCTGTTGCTTTAGGAACACTACCTCCCTAAATATTAGCTATATTGACAGAAGTACTCTTCCATCAAAATAGCTGCATCTATACTGAGGGGGGTATATCAACATAGGTACATCAGAGAGACATGTGACCAAGCCTATGAGAGCTATAGCAGAAATTTTCTTAATGCAAGCTTGAATATTGTAGAAAACAGCAAGATCTACAAGGAGTTTCTATACTGACAAACTTAGTGTAGAACTAGCTTAACCTGCAAAAGTTAACCCAGTATATCTTATACCACTTCCCCGAGCAAAATAAATTGTACTAGCAAAATGACTTTCTGCCAGTAGAATTGTCTATACCAGAACGTTGCCAGCACAACTATGTTGGTTAGAAGTGTAAAAAAGTCACACACCCCCAACTGACATTACTATGCCAGGAAAGCCTTTAAGTATAGACCAAGTCTAAGAATCTACACATTCTCTGCGGTGACTAAATAGTCTGTCAACTGTTACTGTACTAATACTTCCTAGCAGCAGCTCTCTCGTATTTGTCTTTTAGTTTCTGAGATATTAGGGTGCACTTGCATCATGTTTTTAAGCTTTTCTCTGCAACCAAGAGGGCTAGAAACTAAGGGTTTCTCTATATGGGAAAGTTATACCAGTACAATACAGGGTGTTTATTTAGACTGCTATAATTATACAGGTATACCCCCATGTAGACTCTCTTATTCCAGTCTGAATGCATTTATGTATTTTAGCTTTAGGTTACTTTGAGAGCAGTTAAGCAAAGGCAAAAAAGCCACCATTGTTGAGGGCTAAGTGTCTACATAGGGAGTTACATTGGTGTAATTATAGAAGTTTAACCACACTAGCACATTACAGTGATATAACTGGCAATGTCTCCTCTGTAGATAGTCTCATGCAACTTCTTGCCTCCAGCAACCGGGTATGAAAGAAAAACAAACAAAAAATTGCTAGAATTGGAAACTGTCAGTGACAATTAACAACAAGTCTAGTTAAGTCTTCATTGAGGATCCAGTAGGATGCTCTCAGAGCTAACAGTGCTTCCCACGTCCAAGAGCTTAGATCAGGGATGGCCAACCTGTGGCTCCAGAGCTACATGCGGCTCCTTGTATAGGCACCAACTCTGGGGCTGGAACTACAGGTGCCAACTTTCCAATGTGCCGGGGGCAGGGGTTGCTCACTGCTCAACCGCTGGCTCTACCACAGGCCCTGCCCCCCCGCTACACCCCTTCCCGAACCCTACCCTGTGCTTACCATGCCCTCACTCCCCCCCTCCCTCCCGCACCCATGAAACAGGTGATCCGGAGGTAGTGGGAGGCACTGATCACAGGGCTGCAGGTGGGTGGGAGGCACTGTGATCAGGGGGGAGCAGATGGAGGGTTGCTGACATATTACTGTGGCTCTTTGGCAATGTACAATTGGTAAATTCTGGATCTCTCTCAGGCTCAAGTTGGCCACCCCTGGCTTCGAGGCATATCCAGGGCATCTATGCTTCACACAGGACTGGAAACTCCTCCCTGACCTCTGCAACACTCAGGCTCTAGGGAGACGGTCTCAGTGGCCTCACAGTACATTATCAGGCTGTCAGACATACAGGGGCTGGCAATTTGGCCACAGAGCTGCTGCTGCGACATACACCAGCTGCCTCACCAAGGCACTCGAACCAACTCTGCCACCCAACCGCCTCAATGCGGGCATACCCAGCAAGCACAGACAGACCCCCCCCCATCCCTCCTGCCACACACAAACCGCCCATCCCTGCTTTCACACCCTCAGCCTCCCCTAAACCCCTCCTCCCACACATAGCCATCCCCCTCCCCCACACAGACTGCCCTGCTTTCAACCCCCAGGCTCCCCCAACCCCTTGCTCCCACACACGCCCATGTCCTTTCCCCCCCCAACCCCTTCACCCGCGCACACCCATCCAACCCGCCACAGAACCCCCTCCCATCCATCCCCTCAGCACAGACCTCCATGCCCTGCTTTCACACCCCTGGGTCCCCTTAACCCCTCCTCCCACACATACCTATCCCCCTCCCCTGCTTTCACCCCTCCTCCCACACATCCCCATCCCCCTCCGCAGCACAGACCGCCCTCCCCTGCTTTCACCCCTCCTCCCACACATCCCCATCCCCCCTCCCCCGCACAGACCGCCCTGCCCTGCTTTCACCCCTCCTCCCCCCATCCCCATCCCCTCCCCCCACAGACCCCCCCCCTGCTTTCACCCCTCCTCCCACACATCCCCATCCGCCGCACAGACCGCCCTCCCCTGCTTTCACCCCTCCTCCCACACATCCCCATCCCCCTCCCCCGCAGACCGCCCTCCCCTGCTTTCACCCCTCCTCCCACACATCCCCATCCCCCTCCCCCGCACAGACCGCCCTCCCCTGCTTTCACCCCTCCTCCCACACATCCCCATCCGCCGCACAGACCGCCCTCCCCTGCTTTCACCCCTCCTCCCACACATCCCCATCCCCCTCCCCCGCACAGACCGCCCTGCCCTCACCCCCAGTCTACCCCAACCCCCTGCTCCCACACATCCCCATCCCCCTCCCCCGCACAGACCGCCCTGCCCTTCTTTCACCCCCCAGTCTACCCCAACCCCCTGCTCCCACACACGCCCGTGTCCTTCCCCCCCCAACCCCTTCACCCGCGCACACCCATCCAACCTGCCACAGAACCCCCTCCCATCCATCCATCCCCTCAGCACAGACCTCCCCCACCCACAGGATCCCCTGAGCCCAGACCGCCGGTCCGTCCCTGCTCCCCCAGGCCCGCACCTCGTGGGCCGCTGACCGCTCTCCTGCTCCCTCGCGCGCACCCACAAAAGGAACGGAAGCAGGAAATGAAATCCCTCCAGTTAAAACGATTCCAAGCTGGGCCACGTGAGAAACGCCGCTTCCGTTTGCCCCGCGTGACCGGAAGTATTGACAGAGCGCCAACCGCGCCCGGCCCGCATCCTCGACCGGTCCCACTAAAGTAATGAGAGCTGCACGTCAGAGATGCGCCTGCGCAGTGCCGAGCACCGCCCCTCCGGCACGGTGCTGTATCGGTAGAGGCATTGGCAGGTGGACCGGGGTCGGGCCGTGGCGGTTAAACGTGCGGCGGGCCCTGAATCCCCGCTTGGTTCCTCGGGGCGCGCGGGCCCCGGCTCCCGCCCCGCGTGGGGCTCTGGGGAGCTCCGTGTTTGTCGTTATGCCTTGGGGCGGCTGTGCAGGCGCCCCGCCTCGGGCAGGCTACCGCCAAGCCAGCTCCCAGCCTGCTGCTGCCGCCGCCGCCCCGCTGCCCTCGGGCGCCCCAGGCGGCCTGGGGCGTGTGACCGAGTTTGGCCGGAATCCTGTCACCCGTTTGCGGGAAACGGAGCCACCGGGAGCGCGCACGCAGCGGCTGCGGAGAGGACCAGGCCCTTGGGGAAGCCGTAGGCAAGTCAGGGTACAAATAAAGTGAGCGGGGATTTAAGAATTCACCCTGACACGTGCACCGCAGCCACTGCCTCATCCTTCAAATTACTGGGGCGGTGCTGCAGTCTCGCAGTTGTAGGCCTCTCTGTTATCCCAGAGCGTGGTGCCATAGCTTTGGCTGAATTACTGAAGGAATCACCTCTGCAGAGATGTACTACTAATTCTGTCTTCATGCTAGCTCTGTTTATCCACAGTCCAGAGAAGAAACTATCATTTGTTAAAGGGACATGGCTGCTATCCTGAGTTCCCTCCGCCTCCCAAAAGCCACGCGGGAGGTGGCCTACATATTATTCGCCATCCCACCCCTTATACATCTTCATGTTTGTTTCCTTTTTAACCTCTGCTGCACATTGGGCAGAGATCCTCATTGAACTCTTCACAGTGATGCCCAGGGATGAAATTGTGGCTCCTCTGAAGTCAATGGAAATTTTGCCATTGATTTCAGTGGAGCCAAGATTTCACCATAGGTCTTCTTTTTCCTTAACTGATGGCATTAATTTAGAACCCCATAAGGTGTGTGAGAATTTCAAATCATTCCCTTCAGTGGATACTCCTTTGCATTTTTTGAATATAGAATTACATCTGTCATTTTGTTGCCCATTTGACTGGTTTGGTTAGGTACTTTTGAAGTTCCTCACAGTCTTCTACAGCAGTGGTTTTCAAACTTCTTTTCTGGGGACCCAGTTGAAGAAAATTGTTGATGCCCACAACACAATGGAGCTGGAGCAGAAGGGTTTGGGGTGTGGGAGGGGCTCAGGCCTGGGGGAGAGGGTGGGGGTGAGGGCTGCGGGGTGAGGCTGGGAATGAGGGGTTCAGGATCTGGGAGGGGGCTCTGAGCTGGGGGAGGGGGTTGAGGTGCAGGAGGGGGTCTGTGCTGGGTGGCAGGCTCTGGGGTGTGGCTGGGGATGAGGGGTTTGGGGGCGGCTCAGGGCTGGGGCAGGGGATTGGGGTGTGGATTTACCTGCAGCGGTTCCCAATCAGCAGCACAGCCAGGGTGCAGAGGCAGGCTTCCTGCCTGTCCTGGCACCATAGATTGCACTGTGCTCCAAAAGTGGCTAGCAGCAGGTCTGGCTCCTAGGCAGAGGCATGCAAGTGGCTTCGCGCAGCTCTTGCCCACGGGCACAGCCGCCCCGGCCCCCCCCAGCTCCCATTGGCCGGGAGTGCGAAGCTGGTGTTGGGGCGGGGGCAGCGCACGGAGCCTGGTGGCCCCCCCTTCCGAGAAGCTGGACCTGCTTCTGGCTGCTTCCAGGGTGCAGTGTGGTGTCAAACAAGGTAGACACTAGCCTACCTTAGCAGCACTGCCAATGGGACTTTTCATGTCCGGGTGGCGGTGCTGACCAGAGCCGCTGGGTCGCTGAGCAAGGTCTTACATGCTTACAGGCCTTACAAGCCGCGATTCAGTACTGCGTCGTGACCTAGACTTTGAAAAACACTGTTCTCCAGACTTAACCAACCGAACTAATTTTGTGTCATCTGCAAATTTTATCATTTTAATTCTCAACCCCTTTTCCAGATCATTAATATATTAAAAACCACCACTCCTGGTACAGAATCTGTGGCCCTTCACTTTTTTAACCTTTTGCCATGATGAAAATTGATAAAATAAACTTCTACTGTATGAATATATACATGTGTGTAAAACTACTGTTTTGCATGTATTTTATCACAAAGCATGTTGGAAATAAACTTTCTATAAAAACAGTAACATACTATGGAAGGGCAGTTTACTATAGAGGAGTGAATATAGGACTAGGAGCCAAGAGCTCCTCCACTTCTCAACTCTGTCACTGATTTGTTATGTGGCCCTGGGCAAGTCACTTCATTCTTTTTGTGTCTGTTCACATCCACGGTGTATCTAAATCTTGCTCATTCTTTCTGCATAACAACTCTAATATACACTGTTTCCTATCCATCACAGCTAAAACTCTAGTCCAAGCTCTCATTGTCTCATGTTTCAATGACTGCAGCATCTTTTTCTTTAGCTTTGACAAATTCAAACGTGCCCCACTCATTTCCATTCAGAATGCTGCTGCAAAGATAATTTCCCCAGCCCTTTGCTTTTACCACATCACTCCTCTCTTGCATCCTTCCGCTGGCTCCCCTGTCTCTACTGCATCAAATGTAAACTACTTCCCTCACCTTCAAAATCCTTCATGACCTAGCCCCACCCTACCTCTCATCTCTCATTCACTATCAAAAGGTCGATTTCTGCCTCTGATTGGCCCATGATGCCAGCCTCCATTGCCCACTTGTTCAAGAACCTTCGTGCTTTCTCCCATGCTACCCTTCATGCTTGGAAGGCACTCCCCAAAAACATCTGCAAAACTCCCTCATTATCTTTTCTTTTGTTCAGTGCCTAGCACACTGGGGTCTTGGTCCATGTCTAGGGTTCCTAGGCACTCTGGTAATACAAATAAATAATAATAATACTTTCCTATCTGATGGGAGTGTTGTGAGGGTTAATGCTTGTAAAGGGCACTATCATTAGTAAGTATTGTTATGCATCTTGGGGAGAAGTTTCACTATTTTTTCTTATCAGTGCGAGAAGAATTACAGGTCTCAGAGAGATCTTGAATCTGAGAGAAAGGCCATTTTTCAGGAGTTGTGTTGTTGGAAGAACGTTCCGTCTGTCAAAGAAATTCTCATCTTTGTTATATTGTCAGTCAAGTTCAGTAGTTATTAATTTCTTAATACACCATCTTTAAATTATACACATTTGAAAAATATTTTTGTAACAAAATATTTTAAAGGAAAACAGGGATCTTGTAGTTAAAGCACAGAACTGGGAATCAAGTGACATGTGTTCTGTTCCTGGTTTGCTGCATGCTTCCTATATGACATTGGGCAACTCACTTAGGCCACTATTACAGATTTATGTACTGATTTTGGATGTCCACTCTGATTTTGGATGACACTTAGAACCTAAATTTCTGAGGGGCTGAGCATTCTTAGCTCCCCCTGAAATACTTAGCACCTCTGAAAGTGAGACCATAAGTGTCCTAAGTGGGACACACAAAAATTGAAGCACCAAAATTAGTGGGCATTTTTACAAAACTTGATCCTTCAGTGCTTAATTTTATTAATCTGTGAAATGGAATTGTGAGGCCTAAATCATTAAGACAGCCTCAGATGGAAGTTATTATAAAGGTGCAAAGTATGATTATTATTATAAAAGTTTATTGTTTCTTGTGCAATCAGAAATTAAGCTGATGCAGATTTTAAAAAATTAATTTGAAGCCCAGCTGAATTTATGTAGAAGTTTCTAATTAAGAGTATTTAATAAAATGTTAGTTTTAGCATCAACAGTAAGCTGTGTAAACCATGACAAAGTTTTACATAATGGAAACTATTGAATGATATCTCACTATGTATTTAATTTCAGATACTGTTGCCTATTCACAGCAAATGTTTTAACTGAACAGGGTGTAGTGAATCAGCCTAACATAAAGGCTCAGTTTTCTTGAATACATCACATTCCTTAAAGACAAAGTAAATAATTCCTGCTATGTAAGCAAACAAGTTATACCTTTGAATTAATCCCCAAACACATTTTGTACATTTCAAACCATGTAACATGTGACACTATAATATACACCAGTACAAGCAATATTTAATTTATATTGTAAACATATATTACTGCTACATTTAATCTACAAAGCAGTTTGCATTTGTTTATGTTGGGGGGGCAAGGGGGATTACAGGACACCTTTCACTTGACAATGAACTTACATTCACATTTTCAGAGAAAATTCAGAAATTTAAGGTCATCTTAGATTATTAGGGTGAAATCCTGACCGTATGGAAGTCATTGGGAGTTCTGCCATTGACTTCAGTGGAACCAGGATTTCATCCACAGTGTAGAAAGTGTATATTTCTTTAGACATCCTTGTGTTTGCTTTTTAGTTGAAACTTGCATTGCACTGTACATGGTTTATATTGCATTTGTTCCTACATAACATATTCTGTGAATCCTTCATTCTGGGTATGGTACAGTACCTACTCTGTATTGATTCATTAAGAGTACTGTATCACTGCATTGCGTGCTGCTTTAAGTTAGCTCTGAGTGCAATCGTTTGCCCACCCATTTTGGACATCACCAATTTCCACCACTGCTAGGGACAAATTAAATTTCACATTTACTTAATGTGGTTTTACATACATTTAAGAATCAATTCTCTCTCATCCATTAACAATATATCAGAAATTATAGTTTGTTTGAAAATGTGTTTCAACTTAAATATATCTGGTGTAATAAATATAATAATTTTCAAAAAGGACAAGGTAGATTAGCTTTGTGAATTTGTTGATGTTTCTCCTTGGTTTGCATTTTCTGCTTGCACAGGGTGATTCAAAAACTGTCCTGTAGCTCCAATATATAACCTGGATCGCATTGGCCATTTCTGAAAGACAGGATACAAACAAGGT